ACCGGGCGTATTGCCGTCAAGCCCTGAGTACCAAACTGAACTTGAACAATCGTTTCCTTTTCAGTCAAACTGGGAGAAAGAGCAATTTCATGCAAGCAGAATTAGATACTCTACAAAGTCACATTAGTTGGAGTCGACCCCAGTTCATACCACCAGAAGAACTGTGGACTCTAGAGTAGTTCTTGCTAGTATCATCCTTGCAACCTGACCTGACCTCACCTGATTCTACATGACAGTCGAAAATAGTAGAAGGTACCATTTCGGAGTGGTTATATGACCAAAATCGACTCTTAGCCCATGAATTGTACAAATAAACTAGAACATAAGTTGGTGTAGAAGGGTCCTAGACCAGAAAAAGAAGCAGAGACGGACAAACCGAAATATTTGGCACTTTCATTCCGACTAAACGAGCGGAAGTACTCTAAGGGCTCCACGAACGAGATGAAATGTGGCCAGTGAAAAAATAAGGAAAATGAACCGTGTTATCTCGATTGCTTCAGTCTAGCCCGTGGTTGGACGCAGTCGACTTTATCTCGGCCACTTTTTCATCCTATCTTTTCCAGTAGACTAGTTCTTGAGGTTCATAATTTCTATCCCCCTACGTTTTATGGGACTCCATTTTTGAGGAAAACACTAGGTGGCACTTAACCTTGATAAACCGGCGATAAGCTTTATCACACCATCTTTCAAATGTTTGAATCCCTAGGCTGCCCCAAAGTTACCTGGAAAGTCTCAGGATGGAGAGAAGCTTGTGAGCGGTAAAAAGCCTTGTGCCTTTGAAGTCTGGGAGGGTGTGCACTACAATGTTTGCTTAACTTGGCTTTACTGATCTTTCAACGACTTATCAAAAAGGCTATCTCGACCCATCAAAACGACGACAGCTTCACCCGAGTAAAGCAGTTTGTGGGCCAAACGATGCGTTCGTCGAGAGAACACAACGACTGGGCAGATGGGGCTTTGATGCCGACGGGCTTTCACTTGAAAGACCAACTGTTGTACCGTTTGTAAACCCTAGGTATCGAGGTGCAGTTCTTGTAGCTGGAAGCCAGATCGATGGGAACTTCAAAGGGAGTATCATCATAGAACTACATAACTCCTCATCACGGAGGGCCCACATTACTTGGTGAGTCACAAAAGGGCCCACAGCTTCCGCACAAGACAAGGCAATAGACCCGCTACATACTGCCTCGCCGGTGTTGCGTCTGACTCCGTTGGTTGTGCACAGGGCCCCGTACAGTGAAAGTGGTACCATGTCCACGAGCATCTTGTTGTCCCCAGTGTGTCACTTGACTTCAACAATAAGGCAAAAAGAGCAGCGGAACCAAGGCATCCTGGTGAGGATATGGGCTCCAGGGAGCGGGGTGGTGAGCCAGACCACCACGGTAACACAACCGGGAAACCAGGGATGGGAGTCAGACTCGACGGCGAAAATAAGGCATCGCTACTCAGTGAGTTTCTAGAAAGCGGAGAATCAGTGTAACGTATGCAGCACTAACAAGAAATGAGGGGACTAGGGGCGGCATCTAGAGGCATGGAATGCACGAACATCATGATTTCGTGGCTGAAAGAAGGGAGAAGAACTTGCCTGGCTTGCCCACTAGGTTTTTGTGTGGTCAAAGCGGAAGAGGAAGCAGAAGAATGGCAGGATGGGCTAAAGATCACGTGGTTCAAAGGGAAGATATCCAGCATTCTGTTTTCAGCTTACGTGGAGCCATGAAACCAATGAAAGTCCGGTCAAGGTGGGTGGATTATGTGTGCCTTCAATGGAGTACCTCGTCGATCCCTGTGGAGAACGAAGGTCTACTGGAGTGCCTTGTGACGGCTGCCAGTAATACAGAGAAGCTTGATAACCGAGAACTGCAAAGCCTCGAAGAGAGACTGGACTCCGACCTGAGAAACGGCAGGACCATTCAAGCAACACCTGCTAGACCAAGTCGAGGATATGGCCGCGGTGCAGTACATTCACCAAGCTGCTCGAGGGGTGAAGGCCGAACTCCGGGGCCGCTGGATCTACTTATCACTAAGTTTGCCCCAGAAGAGTACAAGCTGGGAGTTGGTGCCTAGCCTGAGGAAAGCCAGGGCGGAGCCACATTGTTGCACTTTCTGGGCGGGGGAGCAAAACCGCCAAATGATGGCTAAAATTACCTGGAGAGAATTGTCGATGAAAGGCTGCTGTCAGTGACAGCACCACTGGCCTTGGACAGTGCGCTTGCGCGTGCGTCTCGACCATGGTCGAGAAATATACCAATATTATTATTATTATAAATGAAACGTAGTTGGGCCTTAAATGCAATCTACTTTGGAAGACCGAATAAGTGGCCGCCATGAACAGAGTTAACAGGTGGGGACCGCATTTACGACCAAGCCTGGTGGAGGTGAGAAAACTGAGGAGCATAAGCAGCTGCTCGAGTATCGGTGAATGAATAGGCTGTCTTGTGAAAGGCAGAGGATAAGTGAGCTCACACACGGAATCAGCAATTCCAGGGCCAACGATAAACACCCAGGAAGCCCGCTACTTGCCATTGTCTGCCCTATTGATGGAACCTGGTTAGGAGGGCGATTGTGGAGAGTTCAGTCAATCATTACTGGTCCGGAGGCTGAAACGTGAGCAGACAAAGAAGGTTATCCACTTTATGCTACCTCCAGGCTTAGAATCAAACCCAAGGTAGGCTGCAGAATTAGGCGATGGAACAAAGTCAAAGAGAAAACTGAAAACTTTTGTCCCCGCCCGGTGCCCCTGTGGTCACCTTTCCAGGAAATGAACTCAATAGCTTGAGTAACTGCGTCGCGGAAACTAAGCGAAGGGAATTTTTGCCCAATCCCCCGCCAAACTCCAAGCCGAGAGTGAGACCGCGCTCGGAAGTCGAGGTGCGGTGAATAGGGGCATCTCCCAACCAGTTATGAGAGATGGAAAACAACGGGGAAGAGCAGTGAGGTTTCACGTAGTTAACCTCCTGATGATGGCCGATATGTCTGGCCATGTGGCCATGAAAGGAATCTTCCGGCTTGGCAAATAGGAGGATCCTCAGAAGGGTCAAGACGAAGGGTCTTGGTCGGCTGCTGTGGGGTTCGGTTGTCCTGGATATCAGGATAGTTTTCTATCTGTCGCACACAAGATCAAAGGTGTCTCAAGAGGTTTGATCCTAGCTCAGCCCGGTTACTAGTTTCGTCGAGCTAGAAAAAGGTGGACGACCCCACCTAGTTCCCCCACAGATATTATCCACTCCGTCTGATTTCAGGTAGCCCGGTTTCCGCCTCAGTCACGCACCGGTTAAGGAGAGACCCCAGTGGAATTCGAAATAGCTACGGGGAAACCTGGTAGAGAACCGGGGTACCCCAGCACATCCGAATGCACAAGCTTGGCATGTGGTGTAGGACGCACCTGAGCAATGCGTAGCCAAATCTGCAGCGGATCCCGAAATCAGAAAGCGATTATCCGTGGAGTTCTACGATACTAGATTAGCAAATAAACAATGACACGAAACAGATACAAACCTCAATGATGTAATCACAGGGACGCAAAACGAGAACCGAATCGCGGCGTGCGAGAGAGGAGCGCGTGCATCACGCAGGTCCAGAGCAAGGATATAACAGAGCAGCGTGCTAGGCGCGAACAAACAAACGTTGGTCCGCAAAAGCGAACAGTGCCTGGAACAATCCAATAGTGTGGGTAAGTGATGTTAAGGAAAAATGGAACTGCATTGGTTTTGGGGGATTCTTCACGACCGGTCTTTATATGCGGCAATGGAAGGCGCCCTTAAAAAAGGAGCCAAAGTTTTACTGGACGGCCACTTCTAAGGAAAGGGGAGTTATAGTTATAGTATATTTCTTGACTGCGGTCAATACACATGCACAAGGCAAGATCAGAGTATACAACAGTACATGTCAATGTGAGGTATTCGCAAATTCTAAATTTATAAATCACACAGCAACCGAAATACTAAAGTAGAGTCATGTAGTGTTTGAGTGAACCAAAGTGGTAATGGTTGAAGCGGGAATTTCGAATCGGTTCCGAAATCGCTGGGGGCGGTGTGGATAGCTGGGCGGTATTGGGATTGCTGATAAAAGCGATAATTGGACTGTCACTGACGAGTAACCGGGCGGAAGAGATGCCAAAGAACAAGATTAAAAGTAAAGTAATCATGGGGCTTTCAACGTGCAGTCAGATATACCAGCGGGATATTGGACACTGATCCAGCATTGGGTAACTAATTGTGGAGGAAGCATGTGAAATAAAGGCAAGTGAGTCAAAGGTGATAATAAAACGGACCTTTTGTGCAGGTGATTACAGTGTCATATGGAAATTCGTATGAAAGCGAAAAGCTTCGCAGGGATTTCAGTGAACTTTTGAAGAGCATGAATGGTGTATGGACGTATAACGGACTTTTAAAGAAGAGCCGTCAGTGAAACGGATTAGTGGAGACAAACAGTTACGAGTGCTGTGTTCATACCTTGTTAAGTTAAACCATACAGTAGAGGTGACACACGCTTTTCGCATCATTTACAAAGTCCAGAGGAAGTAATCCAGACTTGTCAAGTGTCGCATCTTAGCCACAGCCGAAGCCGTGAGTATTCGACTCTGCAATCCTACCCTATGTTCAGAAATAATTTGTGCGAGCACTCACTTCCATGGCCCACTTCTTGTTCCCGAGAACGTGTGCAACCACTCGAACATTCTTCACTGTGATTAATTTCGCACGCGCACACAAGTGCACAGACAGATTTGGATGATCACTCCCCTTCGTTGTTTTGAGTCATTTCTAATTTTGTGTATTGGTATGAATACCAAAACCTGGAAATGAGCTTGGTCTCCATGCTGTTTTGTCCTCAATGTGTTCTGTGGGAGTTTTCGTACAACTGCCAATACAACCAAGAAAGTAGCGAAATATACTCGATATTTTATACAATCGATGAAATTCTTACTAGGGAGTCGAAGTACTTTTGGATCAGACACATCCTTATGGGGCCGGGCCAAGCAGAGTGTATCATTCCTTGAAAATTCAAAAACTGACGATCTGAGCAACATCCTGTCCATGCTGGAGAAGTGAGCTAGGGTTATGCTGTGGATTGGATGAACTAAGCCCCCATGAGCAATCACTGTGTAACAATGTGAATCGAATTCGCGAGATGTGCCTGATAAGAAAAATAGGCCGAGTGAATATAAGCCATAGAATGTACTTTAAGGGAACAAAGTCCGCACTTCTGTAAGCAAAGTTGGGTCAGCACAGCAAATTTCAGCATCAACAAGAGATTTAAATATTCCGTACGTTGACAAACGTGCAATCGACTCACTTAATCAGTGTGCCAGCTCCTATATGAGCCAAAACGTGGAACATGTGACCAAGGCGAACAGTTTTGCCTGATTTTCGTACGATTATATCCTGCGAATAGACCGAAAAAGGAGAAGAAAAACGTTGCTTATGGATGAGTTTCTGTGGGGACCACCAAATACCTTAAAATAAGCCTGAAACCTTACAGTACCTGTACTGGACTCCGGTGCAGTGGTTGAGTAACTCGTAGTAGATGAACTCAGAAACCCCAATCAGAGAACGCGAAGTCAGTAAACTCCATGTACTGTAAAAGAATGACAGTGCTATCGAACACACCCCAACCTGACCACAATGTACAGATAAGTCAATTTCTCAGACCGTTAATTTATGGAACACTCTTCCTCTTTCTGTCTTCCCACCCACTTACAAACTTTCTCTCTTTAAACGCAGGGTCAATAAACTGGTTCCGACGTGAATGTTTCCCCTCAACCCACTCTTACAGTATGTCTTTTCATTATGGGGTTTACCCTTATGCTGTAATTCACTTTAGATGTAATAAAAAAAGCTGAAAGCAGCCGTCAAGCAGGGGTAACAGGCACACATAGGTAGGGTCCAAATCAAAGTCAAACAACAAATAAAGAGGCGGGAAATTACATGAGACACGTGGAGAAGAACGACCAATTACGACCAGCTGTCAGACGGCAGTTCAAGCCAATGGGTATATATATATATATATATATATATATATATATATATATATATATATATATATATATATTGATAGCAAGTAGTATGTAAACGCGTGGACAAAATTTTCCCGGAAGCACACGACCGGTTTCGCGGTTGTTGCCGCTCATCAGGTATGCGTACCCGGCATTCCTCTGCCCACTCGTCTTCGTGCTTGTACACTCCGATCTTATATGTTCACCAGAATCTAATTTGAATCGTCTGGAGTGTGAATGGATACTCCTCATTGAAGAGCCCACAAATGAATCACAACTGTGATTTCTCATAGTTATTCGTGTTTGGGTCCACACGTTTACATACTACTTACTATCAATATTAGCGCTTGAACATGCAGCCTCGATGTTCGTTGGGTTAGCAATATATATATATATATATATATATATATATATATATATATATTGATATTGATGTATACTGATAGTAAGTAGGATGTAAACGTCGGAACAAAATTCATGTATATTGTCAGCACCGAACACAAGACGACGAACCACGGGACATGTCTCGGAACAGCTATGGGAGGGGCTGGCGCTGGAGGTCAACTTGACTGTGGCTCAAATTTGCTCAGCATACAAGAAGTCACTGAAGACCGTGGATAGGCGAATCGTCAGCTTCACAGACTCTTCCCCTCACATTGAATGTCTTCCTAGCGATGATTTGGATGAGATGAAACAGCTTGCAAGAATCTCCCATAACGGTAGCCTGTCCCAACTATGTTTTTCGAAACAACCAGAGTTCCCAATTCCTACGCAGACTTGCGTTGAGTTTATCTCTTGTTGTGAGCCGTGCTTCATTATACGAATGTAGATAACAAAACACTCGTATTCCAGTCTCAGACGAATATAGGGTGCATACGGCGACTGGAGGGTATCACGGTTCAACCGATCGAAGGATTAGAGAACTGCACCAAGCATTGCTCTTGCAGAAGAACAAATATTATCAGTATTGTTCTGAGTACCGACAGATTATAGTAGCCTCGTTCTTAGGTCTATGGCACGATCATCTTCGAAATGTTTCATCGCCAATGAGAGCCGGCGCATTCGGCTAACATCGTCCCAACAGCATACACGCACAATGAACGGCGGTGCCCAGACATTGGTTCAACTTGACAATACGTCCAAGTCTACTCGTTTTATGGGAACGATTGATTAGTTTCCAGCTATCCCGAATTCTTCATTCGTCTTTTTGGTAAGGCTGCTGGATACACACCATTCCACAGTTCTGTGAATTATAAATGAGAACAGCGGCAATCGATTCGCGAACCTGTGTATATCCGCGGTTATCTGATCCCTGTGAGAAACCGTGTTTACGCATTTCACTCGCCCACATGACTACTTGGTAGACCAACTAGTTACTGGTCATCATTTCACTGGATTTTTTTCATTTCTGTTGTACCTGGTCTTAGCGTACGCGCCAGGAACCACTAGATCGTGATTATAATATAAAACTAGTTTTCAATTAGCTATCGATAACTCTTACCCAGAGTTCCTCTTAAGTTCGTTTATTTAACGGCTTCAGCGGTAATCCAAATCATTACGAATAACTGTTGTGTCAAAACACGGTCCGACAACTGCCTTTTGCAAACGGACAAGTCATCCAACCAAATATCACTACGTTTTGTAACTACACAGGCTGTGGGAAAAAAAGACGATGTGGAAATACATGAAGCGAGCCACGCAGAAGCCAAATCGGCGGCAAGCAGACCGACTCGGTTATTGGCGGGTAACTTATGCCTTTAACTGCCTAGGTGTTCAAAGGATGGTGATCCAAGTCATTTATTTACAAGTTAGTTATTGTGTATACGCCTGCATGGTTGGTTGCTCGTGACTGTGTCTGCGGCGTAGACATCGATCGACCTGACGCACGCGCACTTGAGTATGTGCACACATGACGGCCAAGATGAGAGACTGCTGGGGCGTTTGAGAAAGCCATGTCGGTCTGTGTATGTGCGGCGTCTACGCTACTGTTTCTCTGCCATGAAGTCTAAACTGTGTTGGAATAGTCACCATCGTGGATTCGAGACACTGACGTCCTGGGTTCGTGACTCGTCACCACCGGTAACTTCCTCAGTCGGCAGCTTGTGACTGGCCAGGAATCCGTTCCAGAAAAACTGTTCTTTGTCGTGCAGTATTTAACTTTATTATAGCAATAAGCAGTAGGATCACTTTAATATTAATCAAAATCACAACACTACTTACCAATCCCTTTAATACAAACAATCGAATGAAAGGTCTGCTCGAATAGCCAACCGTAGAGGTACGGGAACAACAAAGGAGAGCTGACATGAGGAAACCAAACGACGCTGTCTCTCTTTTTACTAAGCAGTTCACACTGAGAAGGAAAAAATGTAAACACGAGGCGTAAAAACCCCAAAAAATGGTGAAGACCGATTTACTTCATGACTGACTCATCTCACAAGCTTCATTTAGTTGAGATGAGAGAGAACGGGATCACACAAAACCACTGCGAAAATGAGCGTACCGTCATTAAGATGCATGAAAATGCAAAATACCGGTGCAAACTAATCTATTAGGATGATTTAGTGTGCGTCTCTTGTGAGGAATGGGTCAGAAACCTATGTGAGACTGGTCGGCATTTTATTGTTCGACTGTTTGGCCCGGATAATAGACACTCGTGAAGCTTGCCTACTTGAATTTGCATTCATTTTTGGACACCCCAGCCATTCGACCAACATACCGATCCGTCGACACTCATGTACGACAAATATGTAAATCGACACAAACAAATGTTGGCAGGAAAAAGCGTCTGTAATTCGCTTATAAATTAATGCATTCCACGAACTTCAACGGATTTTGGTCGAACTCATGTTACAATGACTTTAGTTTGATATCTATTACCACATCGGAACAATTGAAAAATTCAGATTGGATTTAGGCAAATCAGTTTTTACCTATTTCTGATGTGGGTGTATTCAGTGATGATAAGCCTAGAAAATAAAAACTGGCACAGGGAGGATCGAGTCATCGACAGAAATGCGCAAAATGGTCCCACGAAAGGCCGGGAGGTTGTTTTGTGCAGTACTTGGGGGTGCTGTGATCATCGTATTAACCTTTGTGTACGTGATTAATCGGACTTTGGATCTCTACGATCGCCCGACGTCGAACTGAAAAAATTCTAGTAAGTGAATATTGATACACACTGCAGTGTTTTTTAAGCTATGAGAAAAATTTTGGAGATTTGCTTACTCCTATTTAGACTACATTCTGAATTCGACTACTTTCATGTTTGCCAGTAGGCAAATTATCGAGAAATCCACCTGGGCTATTTGAGTCAGGCTTAATTGCCTAGACCTTATTTTGTGCATACGGATACCACTCTCGCCAATAAAAGTTGCCGTGAAACCAAGACCATCGACGGATAAATATCAGCGTGTATTCCATTCCTCGGAAGTCTACAACGAGTTAATTCAGTCTAAACGTAGTGGAGTCAGTGATCCGGATTACTTTCCGACGGCCTTGTTGCATGTGCTGTCAAGTTCACGTTATGAATATCAATTCCGTCGGAGTACATTGGACAATCAAAATGTTGCACCTGTTGCACTAGTGACGGGATGAAAAATATAATCCGTATGATGCATATAAAAGACCTCGAAGGTATGTGAGACTTCATTGCAAAAAAGCCCTGATGTGAACCATTATGAGTACAGCCACTCACACAACAAACTAGATATTGTCGTCTCTCTAACGCCGTAAATATTCTCGTCATTCATCACAAACCGTGTAGTGTCATGATGTGACCAATAACAAACTGATGGATTCAGCTCTGTCAAGCTGTCGAACAGAGATGGATAATACCTTTTGTTTGTTCTAGTAGAACGCATAGTAACTGCAATTATTGTGTGCACGATCATTTGCGTGAAGAGTCATTTTAAGCACACTTCGCGTTACCTCTTTATTACCACTAGAACACTGTGCTATGGAATATTTGTTCAAGCGCGTCCCCTGTCATATGAGGACAGTAAACTGAATAATAAATGAAATAATCGAGCATTCAAAAAGTCTACCGATATGCACTGAAAACACAATTCCACTTGGTATTCACGTTCCAAATGTATTAAATAATATTCCGCTTGACGGTACTATAATGCTATGGCAAAGAAACTAAATAAAACGATTCACTCATGTCATAACTAAAATACTTTGCGAATTTTCTCAATAGATGTGTGAGACATCTGAGTGATGATAATGAACAACTAGTCTACTAACAACCATCATTCCCGCCACAATTAGAATGAAGCTTTGCGTTTTTGTAGTCTCTGAGGCGTTGGGTTGCCAAGCCTTCAGAACGTCTTAGCACGGGCTCAGTAGGTGTTTTGCTCCACAACATTAGCTTGAACGAGGACTCAGTTTCACATACGAACTGTTTCATTCCATTTGTAAAAAAAACAGAATATATAGGCAGTCAGTCCATGTACCCACAAGTTGCACACAACGCATTGGTCCGACTGGTGTGGGCGACCACGCCTTGAGGCTTAGATGCCACTGGCAGGACTTGTCTCTCATCTATCGATCCACGCCATCGATCGGCTGTCCTGTCGCCCGTAACTTTGTGGGCTGCGTAGAGGCCGGTGCTGATGCACTGTTTGCCAGTGAGACTAAACCGTCTATCGAACGATATGTCAGACCATACCCTCACAGTAGGTATCTGCAAACTAGAACCAACATATGTGGAACTTGGAACAATATCCGTAAGCGTATTTCAGACAACAAGTGTGCATCAGTGATAGAAGTTTAATTGAAATGCTAATGCCTTTAACAGCCTTCAACCCAAGCGAAGGTTTAATTTCAGTGATGAAGGCAAAACCAAAGCAATGTCCAGTTTGTCCATTGAGAGGAACATTAGACGAGCTCAAAATGGGAAATGCATGTCCAGTTATTCCCCTGATAAAAATATCAGTTTGACTTAGTTGAAAATACGGGATAGCAAGACATAAAACAAATAGGAATTAAAGATTCAACACTACCAGTGTCCGTAATGAAACCAATGAGAAATGGACGAGTTATGCCGGTGATCTGTACCCACCACTGAGACAGCAATGTCAGAAAAATCGTTGGAAGAATCACAACTGCATTTGGAAATATTTGCGGATGACCCTCTGCACGCAGTTTGGATTTGTCCTAGATTGCCACAACTATGGCATATAGTATTGCAAAAGCAACCGGTTGAGCGTGAATCGGGTTTACCACAAGAATCGCATTTACCTACAGAATTTTTCACCGAAGTTAACACGTTGTGACCCCAAACACGAGTTAACTATTCGCAATTGGTAAACGGGTCAGATAAATGACGTTCGGTAGCGGCGGGGTACCATTTACAACTGATGTGGAAATTTCTTCTCGTTATATAATTGAATGCACCATTACAGGCCCGACTACAAAGACTAACGGCTTTACGTTACTTATAGAGTGAAAACCAAAATTCATAGTGTATGGCATGTGATAACATCTATTGGGGCACTTAAGTGACGATGAAAAAGTTGACCGGGCCAGTTTTTCTTATAACACAGAACTAAAAAAGCACTAGATTACACGATATATTCCGGAGCATTTCGCCGCTTGTTTACTTATGCGTATTTCAATCGAGGTGACTGATTTTAGTCTCTTAAATATCTTCCCGGAAATCAACGTTAACTCGCGTCGTGTGTGCCGCTCTAGCGTAGTCCACGGTACGTTCACAGAAAAGTTCATCAAATAAACATGACGCTGAGGATGAAATGAGAGCAAATCCAGTTTCCACCCTTGGCGGCAACCCGTCTAGACCACTGACTTTACCGCGCCTCATCTTCATTGGTTTCTCACATACTTAGAAGGAATATATTAACGGTGAGCTCTTCGTTTAAGGTTAGTGTGGAGCCTAGAGCCATTATTCTGCATCGATTATCAGTCAAGCCCGCTAGTTTGCTTCTCTATCATCGAATTTTACGTACACTTTTCTAGTTAACTTCATTGCATACTGGTATTTGCTTTATTTTGCCTACTAGAAAGCTTTTGAGTAGAAGGTTGCGTAATTTGACCTTTCCAGGGTGTCCTCAGATTTATTGGTCACACTGCACTAATGGTTTGCGCGGCAGTTTCAAACCGGTTTCGAATCCGGACTGGGCGGTGGGGTAAGGCGGCACTAGTCCAGCACTGGAATTTGAAGTATCGCCGTTTCTATGGTGGTTTTTATTGTCCGTCACAAGCGGGCGATTTGTTTTTCATAATTTGTCCAGTTCTGTGTAGGTGAACAGGTGCATGTTTTTGGTTTATAAGGGCAAATTCCTAGCCATTGATGTTATCTAAAATGAGTTCAAATGGAGCATCCTGTTTATATATATATATATATATATATATATATATATATATACCAGGTAATTATAATTACAATAGGCATTATGTTAAGATTTTATGCATGTCATATATTTCCTGTGCACTGTTATATGTTTGTTATGTATTCTATGACATCTGTTATGCTGAATTTCTTTGCACTTTCATTTAGAGTGTTTTGAACTTATGTCGGAGGGATATGGCTAACCTAGGGCGGTATTTTACTAGTTAAAACTATATATATATGGCTATAAAAGAAGGAGGTAATGCCGTCATTATGCTGATTCTTTATTGTGCTTTGTGGGGTCCATTTAGGGATATTCTGTAGATCGCAATATTAAAAGGATGCTTTTGAATCATGTGTCAATGATATACCTGACTTACGGTGGCTCACTGTTGGAATCGAGAACGCTGTTTTCCTTTCCATCGGGTGACGCTATGAAAAGTCAGCAGAACAGCGTCAGTGCTATATGCACAGGTTAATTGTTTTACATGACATCCCAAGAAGCACTGCCCAATTGGGCTAGGGTTGGGCATGCCCAACGTTCTAGGAAAATCGCGGATTTCGTTTCACTGCAGAATCGGCTAAACAATATTCCCCCACGTTTTCAGTTCAACCACTAAGTTGCCTTTATATGTATGAACAAGGGAAACTGCCAATTGTAGAAGAATAAGGATAGATTTATTGTATAAAAAGGCGGTAAAAGTGTACATAAAATTCCGACATTCGTTGTTGGTCATTCTTGTATTTCACGGAATGTTGTTGGGTCTTCTTGCTGTTCACGGGATAGCAGTCACCACTCTCATTTGGGAGAATGGCATAGAACACACTGCGACCTAACCCCGTCCCATCAACTACCATTGTGTGCCATAGAATGTACCCACCACGGTTGAGTTGGTGAGTAGCATCTGCCAAAATAACGTCGCTGAACCTAGGACATAACTCTTTGCTTACAGAA